AAAAAAAAAAAAACAGTATTTTAACCTACAGCTTATTTCTTTGGTCTCTTATGTGCAGTAGTCTCTCCCCTATTAGGGAATTCCTTTGGTCTCTTATGTGCAGTAGTCTCTTCCCTATTAGAGAAATCTATCTTCCTTCTCCCCATTACGGACCATCCAAAGATATTTCTCTTTATACAAGTATCAGCTGTGCAGATGGAGCAAAAAACTTTATTAAATCTTACATTAAGAATGATCCAAGTTGCCGTTAGATGCTTAGAATCTCGAATTGCAGGTCATTTACATAAATTTTGCTTTCTGTGTTCAAAACCTTTAAGGATTAGAAGAGCTCTTGTAATCAGCAGTGTTTTAAATAGTATTATCTTTTTTTGTGTGTGCGTGTTACTCATTTTATGTAGACACAAATACTTTTAGAAGGAGAATGTGCTTTTTAATTTAGTGTGGTCATGACCTGCATTTTGTATGAGAGCTTAGACTGTAAAAAAAGAACAACAACAACAACAAAAAAACCACTTTTTTTTTTGGTCTTCGTTCTGTTGTCTGCTATCTTGAGGCAGGTTGGTGGCAGATCCATATACAGTGTGGGTGAAAAGTTCTGAATAGGAAGAAGGATATGAGAGGGATCCCTTAATATCCTTTAAATGGGATATTTAGACTTACATTTTAAAAAGTGCACTGCCTTTTGAAACTAATATTTTCAGAAGTGCTTTTCTATTGCTATTTGTGTTTCACCAAACAACTTGACTTTGGGCAGACTATAGACGGGAGATCTCAATTTGTGAACTATTTTTTTCCAGGCTTATCTTTCTCCTTGAAGCCTCTTTGGTTGGAGTTCAAAGAAAGAAAGTGACTTTCTGGAAAAAAAATGGTAAGGTGGGATGTGATACATAGTCATTGCCTCTGTATTGTATTTCACACTGATCTACAAGGCAGGGGCATAAATGAAGAGAGGAAAGTATGCAATGTCAGTAAAGTGAATGTCCAGCACTTAGGCTTCAGCTGATGGCTAAGTGAAGTCACTCAAGAATTGGCATTGCTGAGTGAGGAGGAGAAGGAGCAGAAGCCTTTAAATTTTGAGAAAGAAAAAGAGATATTTTAAGGATGTGTGTGTGTGTGTGTGTGTGTGTGTGTGTGTGTGTGTGTGTGTGATTTCTGTGTTATACGGATGTAAGTATGATGTTCAGATGAGCAGTATAGTAGAAGATACTGTTATCGGTGTCCTTCAATGGCTCTATAAAATAAACAACTATGCTTCCTTACCAAATCCTTACCAACCTGAAAAATGGTCGTTTTATAACACTCATTTCTATACAAAAGTCCAATCTTTTAAAAGTATGTGTTTAAGAACAGGGTGGTAACTTCTGAGGTGAGGCTGCAGTGATGGTTCACCCTGGGTGAACCCAACCGGTTCAYTCTCTGAATGCTGTTGAGAGGCACGATCTGAGCTTTGATCTTGCAGTCTTCCTTCCACTGATGCTGATACTGATTTGGTTCAGTAAACAAGGAGAAAAATATTCTTCCTTTTGGCATGGTTATCCATAACAGGGACCTGAATTAGTTGAGGCAATGCTTGAGGCAGCCTCGGCAGAGGTAGGGAGAGATAAAGGAGGAAAAGAGGGAAGGACTTGATGTTTTGATGCCAACTCTTAGATCAGTTCATCAACTTGGTGAAATCTCATTTCAAGTGTTGCTGACTTTTCAGGAATATACTTGAACCCATTCATTCAAAGGATGCTGGAGAACTTATACAAAAGAGACATCTTTTTCTTTTAATAATTTCCTCTACTGAGTAACAGGACTTTGATAACCAGTCTTTGCACCTGTAAATGTGTTTCTGTCTGGTGATGCAATTAAAACATTTTGGGGAATTGCCTTCTGTTTTTAGGAATTTTAAAGTCAGTGAGTTCTGTAACATTGTCTCAGTGTCCTGGTGCTTAGAGAGTAAGAGACAAACACCCTCATTTGTATTCTCATCCATAATAAAATAACAGCTCCAGTTTACCACAGTGGATAGTGAAGTTTAACAGGTCCCTTACTGCACTTAACTCATGTGGCTTAGCTGCCGTGAACAGGCTGAAATGGAAAAAAAAAAGCCTTTTCCTTAAAATAAAAATACAGGCACAAAAAAACCCACTGTTTTTAAAAACACAATATTGCACTTGGGACTCTTTAACAGTAAATATTTAACAGGTGGGACTCCTTTTCTGTTCTTCCTTGTATTTCTCAACTAATTAGCGACGAGTCTCTCTAACTTTTTTCGTGTGGCCGTTAATCATCTCGGGCTGTCCTGGCTACTCTCCATAGTGGGGCATGCTGAGCTTGCTGTTGTTTTCCTTCAGTTCATGTGAGTTGTTCCTGCTGCCCTGCAGACAGAGCTGTGGCCTGAGTGCTGCTCTCTGCTCTGAGGCTGATATCTTTCTTCCTTGGAGTCAGATGTCCGCTTGTTGCTGCACCTTTCCTCATGCGTGTGATTGAGCTGCACCTTGCTGAGTCCTGATGGGACCTGTGGGAAGTCCCTGGGACAAATCATTTGTGTTAGGCAGTACTCTGAGCCAGACCACAAGACCCTCTGCTTTTTATGAGACGCTGAAAGAGGAAGAAATACTGGAGCAGGAGATAGAAATTTCAGGGTGTGCCTAGTCCTAGTCCTACACATCTAGGGCATATTAAGGCAAACTTTCAAAGTGGGATGTTTTGAATCTCTTTCCTGAGCAGAAAAGATTAAACTTTTATCACAGAATCACAGAATGGTTAAGGTTGGAAGGGACCTCTAGAGATCATCTAGTCCAACCTTCTTGCTCAAGCAGGGAGGTAGAGCTAGTGGCACGGGGTGGCACATGTCACCTTTTCCTTACAGCCTAGCAATGGATATGATGTTACCTGCTCAGTACCACGAAGGAAGTGAGCTAAAATGAACATTAGTTATCTGTCATAGGTTGTCTGATCCTCATAACCACTAGAATGCCTGTGTAAAAACACGCAGCTTCCTATATCTCTGATATCTTCCATAGCCTTTGGTCTTGCTGTCATGCAAAATTTTAAAGGAAAGCAAATAGTGGAAGAAATCTGCGTGGAGGTTGAGAAGTAATAGGAAGTAAATGTCGTTTTTTGTTCATGTGATGGTGAGAACTGTTAGGCTTGTCTCCCAGGAGAAGTGGGCAAAGTGCATATTGACATATCCATAGTGGAGCTTGGAAAAACCCTAGTATTCCAGGTACAGTGTTGTGTTGGACGTAGAGAGGGGGCAGATATGTAATGCAAGTCCTTTTTTTTTCTTTCTTTCTGTCCTTTCCAGTCTAATTTTGCCCATGACGAAGATTTTGTGTCTGAGTGCGTGCTCGTATTTTACAGGTAATTGATTTATAAAGAAAACTGTTAATTCAAGGATTTCAGATAGGTGCTCCTTCAGTGGAGAACTGTTTTACAGACATTTTGAGTATCATCTATTCATCAAAGTTGCTGAGGGTCACTGTATAATTGGCGGGAGGGGAGTTATTTTGGGAGACTCAAGTCTTTTTTCCAGATTTTTTTTCATCAGCTTGGTGTTTTGATCAGACCTTCTCAAACTTGGCTTCACRTAACTGGGAGCAGGTCAGGGAGTATCTGTTACAAGAAAAAAACCATAAGCAAGGRCAAGGCACTTGACATTCTTTTACCTTAAATTAGCAGAGCAAGTTAGGCTGTAGGTCTGAAGTTTAACTTGATTTGCTAATGTCTGCAAAGACTTTGAATTGCCTTATACTGTTGGTATCTGATGTTTTGTAGCCAACAACCAAAATATGTTAGGAATTCACCAGATTTTAGTCTCACTGTTGGCAATGGCAAGCCAGGTTAGCCTGGGCCTCTCCAGCTTGGTTGCACCTGCATCTTCACTTGAGAGAAGACAGTTTTTCTTGTTTTCCCTAGCAAGGATTAAGTTTTGATTCAAGGCAGGTTCCGCACTTGGGATGACTTAAATATAGATCAATGTTGAATTTTAACYTTTATGTTAAATAACTACGTGCTTTCCCACAACAAGGCTTTGCAGAGAGTTTCTGGGGAAAACATATGGGTCTCTGTTTTTTCGTGTATTAGTTGTTCACTTTYTTTCTATATTTTTCATATCTGATGACGTTTCAGCTGTTTGAGGACAGATAGGATATTATTGACACAATTAGCAAAACAAATGATTATCACACCTTTTATTTAACCCTGTGCTATTTAATGTATTTGCGTGCACTTTCATTACTCACTTGCTTGGTTACGTTACACAATGATATCACCTTCCTGTGCTGCAGGACCTAAAGCAAAGCAAAAAAAAAAAAAAAAAAAAAAACTTTTGGCTCTCAGCTGCTCCCTGCAGTTTTTATTACAAATGAACTAGAAAGCAGCACCGGGCAAGGAGTTATTTGAGTTTCCTTTCACTGCTTGCTGTGCTTTATTTCCGGACGTAGCAATCGGGTATGTTTGTGCAATAGTTCTCGTATCTTAAAATAACAAACAAAAAACGCAGTGACTTTCTTCTCAGTGCAATTAGTAAGATCAGATTGGGGAGAAAAAATGAAAAAAAAAAGAACAATAAAACTCTCATACCAATGGCTTTATACAGATCAAACAATTGGAATCTTTATGACTAATCCCATGGGAATTTTTGAGACACTGTCCCAGGAGGTTTTTATTTGGTTTGAACACAGGTGTAGGAGGTGTACGTGGAACTGCAAATATGGTTTGAGTGTTTCTGAGATGTCAGCGCTAGCGCGGAGCTGGCGTATTGGGACACTTTCACCACTTTGGCCTAAGCGTCGCTGCTACAAGCCACGGGCTCTAGCAGGTAGTCCCACTGACCTATGTCTTTACCAGCCCTTCCATCCTTTGCTTCCTTGACTCCTCTTTGGAGCAGTGGTTGACTGCTCCAGAGGTTTATTTATGGGAAGAAATCTTGCCTGGTGTGGGAAGAGTCCTCACAGTTGGCTCTCGCCAGGACTACTGTGTAACAGCCTGCCCCTTTCCTCTCTCCTAAGGTCCTGTTCCCACTCTCTTTGCCATCATGGAGCAATGTTTGGAGAGCCCAGCAGCCTGTTCCTTCCCATGGCTTCCGAGGATTTTCAGGACTGCAGGATGTAAAAACCGCAAAGACCTCTGGAGGACGTGAGCCCTGGATAGAAGCCTCTGGAAATGACTACCATCTTCCTTACCTTTTGTTTCATCTTGGTTGACTTGTATGTTGTTTGGGAAGGGAGCCTCTCTGTTCTTGGAGGATTACCGCTAACCAGACACTTGCCATCCTCACTGGAATACTTCTGCCATCATTTTCCAGGATAAAAACTTGCTACACTCAGCTGAAGGATATTTCCCCCTTCTCCCAGTACTTTCCCAGTGTGCAGTGGTGCACTTGTCCAGCAGGTACGTAGATGTTTTTCTCATTCCCTCCCTAATGAGGTTTCCTCATGTTCAAGAACATTTGTTTCTTTACTAGCCTCTAGCCTCTGGAAGGGAAGACCTTTCTAAATTTTTCTCACTGTGGTCCCAAGATTGCTTTTCCTCATTCAGTCATTCAGTTAAAATAGACTTTGAATTGCCCGTTTTGTGCAAGGGTCTTCCACTGTCATGGGCACAGGGTCATACACTATGCAGCTTCTCTCATCATCTCTGTTGAGTGATAACCTTGAACTGGAAGGCAGGTCAGCTAAGGACACACAACAAACGCTGTGTATTCCCCTTCTGCCCACACAGGTGACACCTGCTCGTGTTGTCAGGTCCCAGGAGCCCGCCATAAGCTTAGTCTTTGTCAGTCTAGAAATGAGTGAGCCTCAGAGCATGCAGAGGTAAGTCACGGAAGGGCAACATCTGGGGCACGAAGGGCATTTGCCTGTGACCCGCRAGTGTACGTTCGTGTCGACATGCCTGAACTGTCTGCTATAAACCCGTAGGAGCGAGTTGCACTAGAGCATCTGAGCATTTTGATGCCTAACTTGACCCTCGCGTCTGAGGAGGAGGATGAAGCTGCTCGTTACTCTTCCTCCTGCGTCGCCCCTTGACAGTCATCCAATTAGCCAGTGTATTTATAACGTGAAGTAGACATCAGCTGCATAGGAATCTGCTTATCGGAGTTTGCCATGTAATTTCAAAGGAGATGATATGAGTGTTTAATCCATTTTTTCTCGTCTTAATTGAACAGAATTTCTGCTGAAGAATGGCATTATTGAGAGGATGATTTATGCTGTAGAAAAGGAGGTGGCTTTAAATTTTAAAATGAAAATGATTCTGGTTCAATATAGACATAGATAACTCAGTAGTTGTAGTGATAATTACCAAATTTGCATTTTTATGGTCATTTACAATGRATTAGATGCTTTTGTGGAGGTGACAAGTGTATTTTCTTCTTTAATACCAGAACTGGATGTTACCGTTGGTTTCAGTGGGTGTCATTTTTCTGTGAAAATCATAATTTTGACAATTTGAGTAGTACTGTTTCGTGGTTAATTTGTTCATGTGTTCTGACAAGTGCATTTGAAATTATTTTTTTTTTGGTGAGGGGAATGTAAGGGGAGTTGGTTCTTTGAGCTTAGTTTCCGCTTTTATTCTTTTTTTATTTTTTACTATACAAAGAAGATGTATTAAAGAGAAAGTGCTGAAAATGCTTTGCTATACATTTATTCYGCATTCCCATCGGCATTTGTGAGGCATTAAAATTTCATTTTTTGCTATGTGAGCAAAATAATATTAAAGGAAGGAAATGTGTGTGAGTTAAGAGTGTGAGTGGGGAAAAACAAACTTGGTCAACTTATTCCTGAATTTGAACATGGTCTGTAGGCAAATTGACGATGACAGACAAGGATTAAAAATAAAGAAAGATCTTTAATTAGCAGGTGTGGAGGAAGATCAGTTTGAGGAAGGTAACATCTGTAAGATTTATTTCTTGGAGATGAATTTGGTTCTGGAGCTGAGAGCCTGTTTGCTTATTTCTAGTGGGTTTATGAAGGGCTCTGCTTAGGCAAGCAGGAGGATTTGTGGCATTCCACGGTACTGGGCATTTATGCTGAATTATATTCCCATTTTACTCACTTGACGYGTTATTTTGACTCAAGTGACTGGAAATACAGGTGTTTTTCAGTAACTTTTCTTTCTGTTTTATGCATTTTCTGTACATTTGAGAGCAACTTTGCCTTGGAGGGCGAGAAGAAATAAGTTTAAGAAATCTGTATTAGGTAACTGAATCCTCCAGAGATTCTCGCTCTGCCTCTGGTGAAGTTGCAAAATAATTTTTGTTGTTTCAGCCTACCTGTCAGGGGCGATAACATTGTGTTGTATATTAACGGATAGGATTTCTCTTCTCTCTTAGCTTTGTCCTTCAGCACACAGATGCAATTTAGTAAAACCACATGAAAGCTGCTCAGATTTGCCTGGTTTCGTTAGGTAAAACTCCTTTGTCTAGACCTGATGCAAAAAGCTGATTTGTGACTCTCATTTTTATGGTCTGTGTGTTGGCTTCAGAGCAGAAATCATCTGCACCCAAGCTCCTCASTGGGGTTTTCTCCCTAGAAAATACCTGGAAATCCTGGTGTTCCTGGGACCCCAACTGTCTTCCTTGTCCTCTTGGCTGCCACAGGTAGCTGAGAGGGGAGGCAGGGTCACCCCATGCTGGATTTGGCTCCGAATGGACAGTATAGAGCAGCCTTGGCTGCTGTAGCCCTCCAGATCAAAGAGCTGTGGCCAAATTCTCAGTGAGTGCTTTGGTCAGAAAGTCTTSCCCGCAATTCAGGGATAACAGTTTTCCTTCCCTACGCTAAATTAACTTTCAAGGGCAGGCAAATCCCACAGTGCAAATTGGTCAGGCAAATTTAGCCCATTTTATCTATATTATCTGTATAAATATAGAACACTATTTTCCTATCACAAAAAAAAAAAAAAAAAAAAAAAAAAAAAAAAAAAAAGGTATTTTATTAACCAGCTCCTAGAAACTTCTAAAGCTCCCAAGAAAGGAGGGTCACCAGAAGTCCAAGATTTCAAACTACAATTTAAACAAGCACAGTTAATATCTGAAGTCTTTTTATTTTAGTGGTGAGGTGCTTGATGAGGACATTCCAAACCAATTCTGCACTTTTTTCTCTAATTATCTTAAAAGGTCCTTTGTCCATAGTATATTGCAGCTTTATCTTCTACATTTTAACYAGGAGCTTGGTCCTTCCTCCATGCAACCAAAAAAAAAAAAAAAAATTACCTCTAGAAGGTGTAACATCTACGTGCAGAACAGGTTTGTTGGTCCTACCCCAGCCCCCATTGCTCAGCCTGTGAGGAACAACATCTATATAATTTGATTTAAAGGAATTCCTTGAGCTTCCTCTTTTGTTTAGAGAGACCAAGTAAGCATAGTTATTGCTTGTACATAAATTTATCTGTGGGTCTTCAGCATAAGGTAGTGTCTTAGCTTAAGTCCTAGAGTTCGGTTAGTGCTCAAATTTTCCCCATAAAACAGGTTAGAATCACAGTTAAGAAGAAAAAGATCTTTTGAGTTTGCTCAGCTGGTGGACCTGTCATAGTCATCCTTGCACATACACCAAGCAGGTTCAAAAAGAGGTGCTTGGATCTCGGACATGCTGGGGAACCTGCCAAATACATCTGCATGGTGCTAATTAAAAGACCAACTCCACCAGCACTTAAAATGCTTGCTGGCAAAATAGCAAAGCCTCTTAGGGTGCAGTGTCATATGATAAAAATGTCCTTTAGGTGGTATGGCTTGTACAACTTCTGTGAAGGAAAGGAGCTGCACTATCAGAACAGTGATTTTCTGGCAGGCCAACATTGTCACCTGGTGTTTTTGTTGACTGTTCCCTCTCAGGAGACCAAAAAGCCACACTCGTGTCTCTGATTGTGACATTTTTTGTTGTTGGTTTGATTGTTTGGTTGACAGAGACAGCAACTCTGTCCTCTTTGGGCTGGGAACTTTTATAGCAGGGGAAGCTTTACTGTAAATTTWCCATGGATTTACTGCTTACATTGTAAATGGGTCATGTTTATTCTGGTCACACGCGAGGTGTAGGTGTATAGATTGATGTGTGTTATTAATAAAAAAGAGCTTTGGCTTGGCTGCTCGTGGAGGTGACGTACACAGGTGTGCAAGTACGTGCATTTCAAAACCACCAAACTAATATTGGGGTTGCARCAGCCACATACAAATGGCAGATATGCCAAGTCAGTATTAACCATGATTTCATGAGAGTGAAAAGCAGCACTGGCACATTGCAGAGATGTTCCTGTCATGACTAACCGCTTGCACTCTTTCCGGAGAGGAATTTTTTAGTGCCCAGCACAGGCAAACACTAACATTGCAGGTTTGCAGAAGTTTTCAAATCTATTCCCAGCTGGCAGGAAATAAAGGAATTGCAAGTATTTATTCATTTAAAATGGGAAAATCTCAAAGCTGTAAAGTAGATTTGACAATGCAGTTTTTTATTGAGCTTTACTATCGTTATGGGTTAGTGAGATAACTGTGTGATGCCTGACAAAGAGAATTGAATCTACAGACACTGTCTTGCTTTCCTGCTTTCTTGGTTTCCTACTTCTAAAAATTACTTGCAATTACTCTGGGATTTGAGCTGAAACATTTAAAATAGATTTGGATCATTGTGCTTGTGGGTACTTACTGTACTGCTTCAGCACACACTAAGGCCAGATCTTCAAGGGTTCAGGGAGTATGAGCAAGTGCTTCTAAAGCTTCTCATCTTGGGTGCCCACAGTCCATTTGCCATTTTTAAAGTATTTACAGCTGAATCTTGATATTCACCTTTTCCTTTGGAATACTAGACAGGAAAGTACTGATATTATTTGCTCTTCAGTTTGGCTTTKGTCTTTCTTTCCCAGTCCTTTACTGGTTTGGTTGATGGAGAAGAACCTAACTGGAGTGGCAGGTGCTGGTGGACATATGCTCATCCTGTCTGCAGAGACATTAGCACTTCAAAGTGCTGATGGGACTGGGTGGCTTTTATACACAAGCTTCTTCTTTTCCTGACCCAGAACTACTCCAAGTCCTGGGCTTACATTCCTCCATCCCTCTGGGATGGCTCATGTCTCCCGCATCTTCATGATTGATGCTAGATGCTCCATTTTGTAG